ACCTAAGACTGAACCATTTTTATTACCTATTGGACACATACTTTTATTATTAAAAAAAATATATTTAATTTTTAGTTACAAGGAAAAAAGAAATAAATATATAAAATATAAAAAAATGAATAATTAATAATCAAAAAAAATTAAGTAAGTGAAAGTTAATTAAAAAATATTTATATAAATAAAAATGAATGAATATAGATGAGTATTTATTTCAATTATAAAAATAATATATATTATTAATAACTTGAAAAGTAAATTTAAAATAACATAAAAAACCAACTAATATTAATTAATATATTTAATATACCTCAAATCAATATGGATAACCTAATGTGATTAAAGCTAAGAGTTTACAAACTTTTTTTATTAATAAAAATAAATTTAAATAATACTTATAAAAAAATAAATATTTACCCTTTTTAGATTGTTAAAATATTTTTTGTTTTATTCCATTTATTTTTTATTTTTCTCAAAAATAAGAATTGCAATTTATAGAAACTTAATTAATTAAAAGTATTTAATAAATTAATTAATCTTATATCAAACTAATTTAGAAAAAAGGAATAAATAAATAAATAAATGATTATGATCATCAAACACAAATTTATAAATTTGCTTTTCCCAAGAGTTATGACAAAAAATTAGTAAAACATTAATAATTAAATCTTAATAAATATTTCAATTAAAAATCTTGTATTTAAAATAACAAAAATAAAAGATGGGTGGGTAATTAATTAGTCATATGTTGATAAATTTTAGTTATTAAAGTATTTACCAGTAATTAATAAAAGTTTTTATCATTTTTTGTAAAAGCTCCCTCTGGGCTTATTTAAGAGGAATTACTTTATTTAAGTAATTTGATTCTTAAATTTTGTAATGTTTAATAAGCTATTTATTAACTTACTAAAATATTATATTTTAAATATAAAAATAATAATAAATCTTTCTATCTATCTATATGTTAGTTTAATTTATTTGATTACAAAATAAAACATATTATATTAAAGTATTCAAATATATTTATTTATATTTTATTGTCCTATTTCACTACTTTTTTATCAATGTTAACATATTTTTAAGACAACTAATCTCTTTGTCTTGAGGAACTTTTCTTTCAATTATTCTGATTTCTGGTTACTGATTTTACTTTTAATATAAATAAATTAACTAATTTAAATACTAAAAAATAAATTAAATAAAATATTGTAATCAAATATTGTATTTTAAATAAATAAATAAAAAATTTATCAAAATAAAAAACTAATAGATAAATAAATTAAAAGAAAGAAAGAGCTAGTTTGTTATATTGTTTTAAATTCATATTTATATTCAAAAATATCATAAACTAAAACAAATAAACTGTTTTTACTTAAGGTTAAGTGTCAAATTTATGAGATGAGAACATTTTCTTAAACCATAAGCTAAGCCTAATACTCCAATTTCAATTTAATTATAGCTTTTTAAAGTTTCAAGAAAAATGATAATGTTAATTAGTTAGTTAGAAAGAAAAAATATGAAATAATAAGAAATTAATTAATTAAAATAAAGGTAAAAGTTGAAAATGATAATATGAGTTAAATAAATTAACAATCAAACAAACAATGAAAATAAATAAATAAAATAAGAAGAATAAAAAAAAGGAAAAATAAATAATTTTAAACAAAAATAAATAACTTAAAGAGTTAGTTATATTCTTTTAAATTCCCTCTTAAAATCAAAGATATAAATTAATAAATAAACTGTTTTTACTAAAGGTTGAGTGTCAAATTTTAGAGATTAGTGCAATTACCTAAACCAAAACCTAAGTCTTATATACCTTTATCTCCAATTTTATTTTTGCTTTTTTAAATATAAAAAAAAACATATAAAATTAATTAGCAATCTAGAAGGAATATGAAGAAAAATATGAAATAAATAAATAATAAACAAATGAATTATTTAATTCATAACAAAAGCAAAAGTTAGTTTAATGAAAATGAAAAAAAGAGTTAAATTAACAATTAAAAAAATAAAGTAAATAAAAAAAAACACAAACAGAGTAAAAAAAAGAAAAATAAATCAAATAAAAAGCTAAAAACTAAATTATAAGAAATAAATATTGTTTAAAATTATTTCATTATTCAAAATATATCAATCCATAACAAATAAACTATTTTTACTAAAGATCAAGTGTCAAATTTGAAAGATTAGTGCACTTCCCTAAACCAGAACCTAAACCTGATAAACCTTCATCATCAATTTAATTCCACCTTTTTAAATATTGAAGAAAACATAAAGAATTAATTAGTTAGTTAGTTATTTACAAGGAAAAAATGAAGAAAACAAACATTTGAAATAATAAGAAATAAAATAATTAATAATATAAAAAAAAATTAAAATTAAAGAATAAATTAAGTTAATAAATAAATAAATAATGCAAGCAGAATTAAAAAAAAGGCAATAAAAGTATTAAAGGAGTTAGGTAGTTATATTTATTTTTTAAATTAATTTTTATATTAAAAATATCACAATCAATCAATCAGAAACAAATAAACTATTTTTACTAAAGATAAAGTTTCAAATTTGAGAGATTAGTGCATTTTCCTAAACCAGAGCCTAAGCCCGATCCACCAATTGCACCAATTTAATTAGACCTTTTAAATATTGAACAATAAATAAAGAATTAATTTGTTATTTAGAAAAAAAAAACGAAGAAATAATATAAAATAATAAGAAATAAATAAATGAACTAATTAACAATAAAAGCAAAATAAAATTGAAAATGAAAAAATGAGTTAAATTAACAAACAAACAAAGAAAAAAAAAAGAAAGAAAAAAGACAAGCAGAATTAAAAAAACAATAAATAAAATTAAAAGCTAAAAAATGAATTAAAAGAGTTATTTATATTGTTTTAAATTCTTCTTTATATTCAAAAATATCAAGGGACAAAACAATTAAACTGTTTTACTAAAAGTTAAGTTTCAAATTTGAGAGATTAGGGCACTTTCCTAAATCAGAACTCAAGCATAATACACCTTTATTACTAATTTAATTATAGCTTTTTAAATATTAAAGAAAAATATTTAGTTAATTTGTTAGTTAGTTTTGAAGGAAAAAATAAAGAAAACAAACATATTAAATAATAGTGATCGACCGAATAAGACTTTTTTTGATTCGGCCGAATACCGAATAATTTAATAAGAAATTAATAATAAAATTAAAAGCAGAAATTAAAAAATGAGCTAAATTAACAATAAAAACAAAAACATATAAAAAAAATGCAAGCAGAATAATAAAATAATAAAAAAAAAAATAAAATTAAAACAAAATAAATAAATTAGAAGGGTCAATATATTTTTTTAAATTCATTTTTATATTCAAAAATAAATATCCAATATAATAAACTGCTTTTACGAAAGATCAAGTGTCAAATTTGAGATATTAGTGCACTTTATTAAATTAGAACCTAAACTTGATATACCTTCATCACCAATTTAATTAGACCTTTTTAAATATTGAAGAACAAATATAAAGTTAATTAGTTTGTTTGTTAGATGGAAAAAATGAAGAAATAATATGAAATAATAAGAAATTTATAATTAAAGCAAAAGCTAATAATGAAAAATAAGTTAAATCGACAAACAAACAAGCAAAAAAACAGATAAACAAACAAAGTAGATAAATAAATAAAAAAACACAAGTAGAGTAAAAAAATAAGAAAAATAAATCAAATAAAAACAATTTGTATTGTTTGTTTTAAATTCGTTTTTATATTAAAAAATATAAAATCCAAAACAATTAAACTGTTTTTACCAAAGTTACAGCGCTAAATTTGAGATATTAATGCATTTTCCTAAATCTGAACCTAATCTTGATAAGCCTTTATCACCAATTGATTAACAGCTTTTTAAATATTGAAAAAAATAATTATAATGTTACTTAGTTAGTAGTAGAAGGAAAAAATAAAGAAAAAATATTTTTTTAAAAATAATTGATAATGAAAATAAAATTGAATGAAGATTTAATTAAAATAATTTAAAAATGATATAAATAAAACTAAATGAATATAGATAGATAGATGGTAATTTCATTAAGAAATTGAGAATTGAATATATAAAAATATTAATAATAATAACATTAATAAATTTAATATACTTTAAATCAATAAAGAGAACTTCATGTGATTAAAGTGAAGACTTGAAAAACTTTTTTATTAATAAAATAAATTTAAATAATAGTTTTTAAAAATTAATATTTACTTATTCTAGATTGTTAAAATATTTTATGTTTTATATCATTTGTTTTTTTTTTAATATTCAATAGCAATTTATGGAAATTTAATTAAAAGTATCTTAATTGATTTTATATCAAAAAAATAATAAATAAATTTTAATAATTATCAAATCCAAATCTATATTTACATATAAAAATTTACTTTTAGGAAGAGATATCATAAAAAGTTTAATGTTAGTGTAGCATTTATTTATTATTAAATCTTAATATTTATATTAAAAACTTATAATTATAAAAATAACAAGAATCAAAGATGGGTTTTTAGTTAGTCAGTCATATGTTGATAAAATTCTATTAATTAAAGTACTCAAATTTTTTTAAGATAATTTTAATGTATTAGAACTATCTATTAATGAGGTGAATATTAATCTATATTAAAATATATTTAAGACATTATAATATGTTTAACAAAAATTCTCAAATCCAATCAATTATTTTTCAAGAACTTGTTTGTTATTTAGTTATATATATATATTAAATGCACCCAAAAAGAGCTTTTATACATAAAATAAATTTTTAATAAATATATTATGCATTTTTATATTACTTAAGATACATTTTTTTATACTATCTACAATGTATAGCTGTTCCTGCATTTGAAATATCACAGATCATGATATCATACTGTAAATGCTCATTAATTAAGGCATTCCCTAAGTATCTTTTTTACCCAAAAAAAAGTGCCTTAATAAATGATATATCATTAAAAATATTTGCCTTATAAAATGAATAAGGTTTATTAAATTCAATTAAATAAATGGAAAAAGAATTTATACATATTCAATTATGATAAATAAATTAAAGAAAGTAAATGTTTATTGAAAATTACTTAATTTTTAAAATAATGTGTCTTGAATATATATATATTTATAATATTTTTTGTTTATATTATTATTTTAATTATATTAAATTTAATTTTTCATTATAATTAAATAATTTTTATTAATTTTTTTAGAACTCTTTGAATGTTTGGCATCTGTGCATGTTGGGCGATTTATTCCTAACAAACGGTGCCCAACATAGACAGGGTTTATTGTTTTTAATTTTATATTAAAAGATTAATTAATTTCTTTATTTAGTAAATTAAACCACAAAAAAGAATTAGTAGAAGTAAAATTTTGATAGTAAGTATTAATTAAATAAAAAGCAACTAACTAATGATCTGTTTAAAACTTGATTTATTTTCATCTTAGTTTTTTTTTAATATTGGTAACTAATAAACTAAAAAAGGAACTATTTTAGGAACTATTCTTTCATTTATTGTCTTGTTTAACTCGTTTGCTTATTTAGTTTATATAGTGTATTAATATGCCACTAATAAATTAGATCCAACATATAGATCTTAAAGCTTTATTAGCGATAAAAATATTGATATGGCGCTAAATAATGATTTAATTGGGTTTAGATTCGAGTATGATACTAATCTAAGTATAGAATTACTTTAAGCTTAAAATAATAAAACATATTTAGTCTATGTTGCCTAATTTTATTAGGCCAATCAGTCAAATTAGGTAACTTATAATCTTGATGTTATTGATTGCTAAAATCCTAGTCTTATAGGCTTTAAATGCTTGGATTTTTCAAAAATTTCTAACTACACCTTTTCTCTCGACACTTAAAATAATTTGTAAACTTAAATTACAATTATGACTTACGGTTGCCTGGATTTGGATAACTATAAGACATTTATTCCAGATAATTGTGCAAATCAAACAGAAATTGATAATGTAGTTAATGGATCAAATAGTGTTTTACGACTAAAACTCTACACTAGTCAGTTTAATACAACTTCATAGGAAATTTAAGCAAACTATAGAAACTCATATGTCTATACAATCGGTAATCAATCAATTTTATCGAGGATCAAGACATAAAAGTAAGTTACATCAGTTAAAAGTGGATTGATTATACAATCTGAAATGACTTTTTCTTCTCCAATATAGTATGACAAGCAAGATTATAGCTACGATAGGAAATATGCTCTAGAAAATATAGGTTTTTAGAGCTTTAGCTCAGTAAATCTGTTTCCAGATGAACTAGTTTAGTAAATTTAAATTGAATTTCCCACTCTTCCCCAAGTTTTTGCTTAAGTTAATAGTATTCTTACATTGCTTATGCTTTTGGGTGTTATTGGTAGAGCTATTTCTAGGTATTCAATAAAACAAGATTTTTTTATGCTTTTCTTCAAACATTTATTTTAAGCGAATTACTTATTAATGCAAGGCGTTCAGAAAACTTAACAACAAAGTTTATTAAATGATTAATGCGAAGAATAATTTTAATAGCATAAACAAGAAATATTACAAATCAAACAATAATAATCAGATTAAAAAGATCAAAGGGTAGCAGAAATCAAATAATTATAGACAGATAGTATTAATGAGGAAGAAGAAGAAATAAAAAATCAAGATGAAATAAGTTAATCTAAATCAATTCCTTTATTTTATTATACACCTTCGTATAATAAAAGTTATCTATATCAAAATAATAATTTAGAAAATTTAGAATTGGAATAAAAGTCATTTAACAATAGCACCATTAAGCTTAGAAAAGAGCTTGTTTAAATAAATCAAAAAGGAAAATTATCAATTGAAAAAGATTCTCCACAGATAAGCAACGACTCTATCATTTAAAAGTCAAGTCTATACAATAAATAAACTTCAAGCATAATTTCTGAAACTATTTTTTCTATCTAAAGCTAAAAATCTAAGACAAATGTTGCTTAAAAAAAGGAATAAAACGGCTTTATAGGTAATAACCTAGAAGAAGCTAAGAAATGTGAAGAAAAAAATAAATAATATTAATATTAAGAAGATCAAAGCAATAAAGAAAAAGAGGAAATAGGTGAGTGTTTAAAAAAGTTGAGAGTTCTTTAAGATAGAAAAGTTTATGCAAGAATGAAAAAATAAATATTTAGAATAGTGTATCATTATTTAATTTTATATATATTTTTTTTAATTTAATAAATAAATAAATAATAAAAGATTGTGCAAAAAACGATAAAAGTCTGAGGAGATAGAGGCTCTAAGTTAAAAACAGTAATAAAGGATAGATAATTAGATCAGTTAGGATCTTAGTATCTTAAATTTTATCAAAGATATGATCTTTTTAAAGAAAGCTGTTATGTTAATTTTAAGAAAAGATTAGTTAGCAGCACTAAATTTGATAGGATTTTCTACAAGTGCTTAAGAATTAGATTTTTAAAATATTCACTCAAATGCCTAATTAAGTAACTAATTAATTAATTATCTATCAAATTATGATTTAGATTATTTGTTAATATTAACATATAAAAAGAATAAAAATTAAGTTATTATGAGATGTAATATGCTATTATGTAATCTGAAAAATTGTAGCAGCATTAATTGGAAAAGTTTCTTAAGAGATGCTAAAATAATTAAAAAATTAATGATATCGATGAAAGAATTTTAAATTCTTTATTATAAAATTCAATTTTTTGATAGTCTTGTTTGTAGTTTATTTTTATATTGTCTTTTTGGAAAAGCAAAGATTTACTTTCAATTTTATAAGTTATTTAAATATCTTTTTTATCCTAACAGAACAAATTGATTGTCTTATATATTCAAATTAGTTAGAATTTTATTTAAAATTTTTTAAATTTTATAATGATTTATTTAATCCAATAAAAAGTTAATAAATAAATAAATACTTAAAGATACTTTTTCTGTTAATAATCATCAGATACTTTTATTTTTATTCTTTGATTTATTTGTAATTTTTTGCAAGATTTTAACCTAAGTATGTATTATCGAATTTCATACAAATTTTAGATTTCTTTATTTTAGTTTTTTTGTAAATAATATCTTTCAAATAACTTATAAATTTATTACAATCCATATAATATATATTTTATTTCAACAAATAATTTATAGTTTTGGCTTATTAAATTATAATTAGAATTAATTAATTAATCTGAAGATAATTTTTTCTTACCTTTTGTTAAAAGAATTCGACAAAATTTCTTATTTTAGTAATTAAACAAAATAAATAAAGTACAAAGTATAAACATTTACTCAAATAAGAAACTTGATAGAAAATTGTCAATTCCAAATATATTGTAGATGGATAACTAATAATTTCTAAAATAATATTTGAATTAAAAATAATAATAATATGTCATTTTATTTTAAATTAATTAATAGAATCTCTATATAAAGCAAATATTTTTCTCTTTAATATAAAAATATCTATTATTTTTAATTAATAACAGGGGTATTTAGATAGATAATCTTTGTATATCTGTCTGCAATATTTATTGGTTAAAAATAAAAATTATGACTGATTGATTGATTGACCAACTGACCAACCCCTCATCAGATATTAAATTATTTTTGTTACAAATTCTTTTTTAATTTGATATTTTTTGCTTACTTAATTTAGAAATCAATGCGAAAGATTTCTCTGTTTAAATTTTAATGCGATGTTTTTTAAAAATGGTTGATTTTATTGAATTTTGGAAAGAAATACAATTTTTCGCTTTACTCACAAAATGAATCTTAAGATATATAGTTTCAAGTAGAAACAAATATTAAAAGTAAAAGATTTATATTTTTGGTAGGTTAGAAAAATTAATTTCTTATTGATCAAAAAACTTTTGATATTTTCTTGTTATAATAAAATTCACAAGTAGAGCTAAAATTTTGTAAATTTAGATTTTTTTTGTAATTGATAATTCAGAATATGTTTATTAGGAGCTGCTTTCTTTAAGTTAAAATTTTTGTTTATCTTAAAGAGTTTTTCACGCAGTTAAAAAAATATATAAATATTGTAAATAAAGATATTTAACGAATCAATTATATTATCTTTATGCACTACTTATCAAAATTAATTAGGTTTTTCGTTTATCAAATGAATATCTGATTGAAGAAAATAATAATTGCGTTTGATTCTCAACTATTTACTTAATAAGAAATTCTGTGGAAATAAGTCTTTCTAAGAAATTTAAATTTCTACATTCAGATTTGCTTAGCAAATAGCCTAGTTGACTAAATTTAAATTTAATGAAATAAATAAATAGCAAATATTTAGTTTATAATTTAAAAGTAAAAAAAGCTAAGTTAAAATGTTATTAGAATTGATAGTGTTGGCAATTTTCTCAATTTTCTTATATTATTTTGCATATTATGTTGTGCTACCAAAGTATAGGATGCAATTTTATAAGAACCAGGGACTTAAAGAGTATGAATTCAGACCTGTTTATGGATGGCTTACAGATATTACACTGATGAAGAGGAATCAATGGAACGATTGTCTTTACTATATTAAACGTCTTAGTCAAAACCCTGATTATAAAGATTAAGATATTATTCTTAGTAACCTTGCTGATCAAGCTCTCCTTACTTTAATTAATCCAGAGCTTATTAATGAATTTCTTTAGAGATAGAATGAATATATAAAATACTAATTGCCTGTGTAAGGTATTGAGGATTTCTTAGGCAATGGACTATCAAGATAGTATGGAGAAAAATGGAAAAATGGAAGAAAAGTAATTTCTAACATGTTTACTTTTGAAAATATTACTGCTCAATTATAAAGAGTCAAAGAAATTTCACGCAAATACATTAATAATGAAGATACTGAAAAATTTAATATCAAATATGTCTTTGAGAAGATTTCTGGATCTTAAAATCTTTAAGTTTTGCTTGGAGCAGAAGTAGAAAAGTACAAAGACAGTGAAGGAAGACACCTTGGTGAATGCGTCCAGTAATTGTCAAACGATATTTGTGCTCTTTACATTTCACCATTCGCGATGATTTTTGGCTAAAAAATACTTAAATGGAATTTAAGAGAAGCTGATCGTTAAATTTAAAAACGTATGAAAGACATGCGCGAATTAATGACTAAAATTTTAATTGACTGCGTAAATCATGAAAAAGATCCTTCTTATGAAGCTAAATTTCCTAGTTACATCACATTCTTGCTAAGGGCTGGCTATTTATAAACTGATGAAGAAATTAATGATCTTAGAGCCACTGCTTTTAGTATATTCTTGGGAGCTAAAGAAAGTACAAGCAAGTTAGCTAACATGACAATCTACAATTTGATAAAGCATCCAGAATAATACAAATTGGTATATGATGAAATACAAAAATATGTTAGTCACGACGATTACAATTACCTTGACATTTAAAAGCTTAATCACCTGCAAGCAAATATCAAAGAAACATAAAGAACAGACCCATCTTCTGCCTTTTTAAGATTAAGAGTAGCTTAGAATGACCATACACTTGGAAAATATTAAATTAAAAAAGGCAGTATCATCAATGTTGGTTATCTCGCTAACTTTTACAATGAGAAATACTTCAGGGATCCTTTTACTTACAATCCAAGTCGTTGGTTTGATAAGTAAGAAGACCTCAAAATTAAAGAAAATCACTTCGTTTTCATTCCTTTCTCTGCAGGATCAAGAAATTGTATTGGATAACATTTAGCTACTATGTAAATAAAAGTTATGATTGTAGAATTTATCAAGAAATTCCACTTACCTCAAATCCCTCCTGATTTCGATGATGAAAAGACAATGATTTAATCATATGGCTTTAAAAATCCTCTAATCGTTAAATTATAAAAGAGAAGTTGATTTGTTAATTTTCACCATAAAAGAAAGCATTTGTTAATTTAAAAAAATTGACTTTCTATTTAAATTAACAATTTATTATTAGTCAAATTGTTTTTATATTTATGTAGAATCAAATTAAATTATTTTTTAATTACTTTATAAATTTTTCTCATTAATTAAAAAAACATTTACTGATTAAATTGCAATTCAAAGATAAATTTTAATAAAGTTTCTTCTATTAATTTTTACTTAAGTAATTTAATTGACTTTCATATATATAGACTTCATCTTATTGTTGAGATACATATTTAATAAGACAATATCAGTTTGTTTTCTTCTTTTCAAGCAATTTCAAATTAAGAAATAGCAAATAAATTTAGAAAGAAAATATTTAATTCAATTAAAATATGCAAAAATAGAATATTTAAATTTTAAAATCTCAAACAATAAAATAAAAAAACTGTAGCAAAATTAAATAGAGAAGAGATTAGAAATTTTAAATTGCTATGAATAAAAATAAATTATTGTTAAAGAAATTTAATCGTATTTTTAATTGTAAAATATATATTATATAAAATAATATTATAATATAATATTAAATATCAAAGTTAAATCTATTTTATAACTAATCTTTTTGCCTTTAGTAATTTTTTTTCTAATTACTATTTTGTTGCTTGTTCAATCTAATTCCACCTTTAAATTAATATTTTAGATTAAAATTTATAATGAAGGCAAAAAAAACTTATTGTAAAAAATTCTAAATAAAATAAATTTTAAATAGTTATCAAAGATTAAATCAAACAAAAAAATATATTAAAATGTCTTTATTTTTATAATTATAAATTTAATGATAAAAAACTTGATTATAAAAAAGATATTAATTTTACATGATACCAAGTTTCAAAGTAAAAAGATTATTGTAGCTCTTTATAGAAGCAAATAAGTCTTAAGCACCTTAATTATCGATTTCATTATGACTTTTAATTTATAGAAAAAATTTACATAATAAAACACAATAATTTTTAATTAAAAATGAAAATATATTTTGTTAATTTTATTTAAAAAATAATTAAATAACTATGAAAATTTCTGAATTAAAAATGCTCTTATCACACATTAGGAATTCAGGTAAAATCAAAAGTAAATAATAACTTAAGTGAAAAAAAAATATACTTTAAGTAGAGTGTTAGATTTTAGAGTTTTTGACAATTTTTTAAGCCAAGACCTATTGATAAGGCACCCTAACCCATAATATTATTACCTCTTTATCATATTAAAAATTATTAGTTTATCAATAAAAACTAAGATTTAAAACAAGAAATTCAAGAAAGTGAGAAAATTAAATTTTTTTCTCTTATTATTGTTTCATAATTCACCAATTAGCTAAATTAATTATATTAAGAAAAGTAAAGAAAAAAATATATATTGGTTTTACTATAAGAAGAGTGTCAAGTTTTAGAGTTATCTAAAATTTTCAAATGCAGATCCTAAAACTTTACTTTCATAATTGTTTATCTGATTATGACTATTCATATGTTAAAATTTATAATTTGTAAAGAATAAAAATATAATATAAAAGAAAAATAGGGGAGAATAGGTAAAATAAAGATTTAAAACTAAAATAAAATAGGGCATTAATCTTTTAATATTATTAGAAAAATCCCCAGTTCTTAATACTTCCATTTGACAATAAAAAAGTAAGTTAAGGAAGAATAAACAACAGGAAATAATACTTCTAATAATATCATTAATAAAATCCCCTATTTTTTATTCATTCAAATCTATATATCCCCTATTCTGACTACCCTCCACCAGACATATTAAAGTATATCTAGTAAGAGGATTAAATTAAACAGCCCAAAGTAAAATAAAATAGTTTAATTGTATTTTTATATAATAAATAGCACTTATTATTTTTAGTTTTAACTTCATTTAAAAAAATAATCCATAAATACTAATTTTATAATGTATATCAATTTTTTGTACTCGAGATTTAATGTTAATGTTGACAGTTAAGTGCAATTTACTAAAGCAGAACATAACATTGGTGAAGAACCATCCTTCATAGTTTTGCTAGATAATAAAAAATAATTAAAAAAAAAATATTTTTTAAAAAAATAAACAAAGAAAATTCAAATATAATCAAAAATAATAAAAATTAAAATTTAATATTTTGCTCAAATAAAAAAATATTTATTTAATTTAAAATTTTAAATATTTATCCAAAAATTTCACTTTAAAAGATCAATAAATAAAATATGTAAATTATTTAACCTAAGGTAAAGAGATAACTTTTAAAGGTTGTAACACTTGGCTATAGCAGAGCCTAATTCTAAAGCAACCTATTGATCGATCATATTGCCACTTTAATTTTAATTTACCGTTTAAAAGAAATATGAAAAAAATATAAAAATGATAAAATAAAGGATTATTAAATACAAATTAATTTCAGTCAAGTCAAAAATTTTAAGTTTAAATTATGGCTAGTTACTTATAAGTTAAATAATTCGAAAATATAACAAAATTTACTTGAAGTAGATTATTAAAGAAGTGAGATTTTGGCATTTTGCTAACCCAAAACTCAAATTTGATACTCCCATACTGCCAAATTAATTTTAGCTTTTATTAAATAAGAAATAATAAGGTTTTTTAGTAAGAAAATATTTAAAATTAATTATATAAATACAAATTAATCAACGTAAAAATTTTAAATTTAGGAATAATAAATTATTTCATTATTTAATAAATCTAAATAAAACCAATAAAATATCATTTTACTCTAGGTATGCTGTTAATGTTGATAGATTAATGCAGTTTGCTAAAGCTAACCCTAAACTTGATGCATCCTATTCGCTTATTTTATTATCACTTATAATTTAAAAAATGTTTTGAATATATTCTTTAAACAATTAAAATAAGAAATATTATTTAAAACACTAAATAATTATTTTTCTTTGATTTCTCTTTTGAAATAAGTTTGTTAAATTTTAAATATTATACTATCTTTGCTTTTTAGTTTATTAAAATTTAAAAGCATCTTAATTCCTAAAAATTAAGAATTATTGAAAATTCATTTTATTTTATGTCTTTTTCATTTAAATTAAATGCATTGCTTGATAAAAAATCTAATTAAAACAAGACAGTTTTAATTATAAAATTGTATTTTTGGATATTTATTTGTTTAATAAAATTTACCTTAGATACAATTCAAGATGGATGTGAGATTAGAGAGAAGAGCTTATAAACTTTTTTTAAGATCAAAAATTAATTAGAAGAAAAATATGAATATTTCTGATTTTTACATCTTATATATTTCTAAATTAATTAATCTATTCTATCATTATTTTGTTTAATTACTTTTATATTTTTAATGAAAAAGTTAATAACAATAAAAATTTTTAAATATTGCATTTATTTATTTTAGAAAGTAATTTATTAATAAGCTAATTAATTTATAGACAATAAAAAATCATGAAATTAGTAAAAAGAGAGAAGACATAATAAACATTATACTTTGATTCTTTAGAAAAAGTTATTCTCTGTATTTGTATTATTTTATCTAAATTTATTTTTTCATTAAAAAGTTTTTAAACTCTTCACTTGAATCTCATACAGATCTTGAAATAAAAATATGGATTTTGTAACTTTATTATTTAGATTTTTTTTTTACACTTTCAATAAAAATTTTGTTAAGCAACTTAAAATTTAAAAATAAATTCTTTTAGATCTTAAAAATAAATTTAATAAATCAAATTTTTTTAATTATTAATATTAAATAAAAATATTTTCAAAGTGAAGACTAAAACAACCAAGAGGGAAAACCACTTTTCCTAAATGCTTTAACTAAATGCATTAATCTTTCTATTTTGAAAATCCATTTGGAGTATAAAATTTATTTTTGTTTTATAATTTTTATTCATATAAAAAGTTATTTTTATTTCTTTATACAGTCAAAAATAAATAATAATACCAAAGCATTTATTTCTTTTGTGCAAAAAAAATGTTGCTTACATTTTTGGCTAAAAATATTTATCATTTTCATGATTTAGTTTTTTCTATATTTTTTTAAAAATTAAAAATTAATACTATATTCAAAAAGCTATAATGAAATTGATTGTAGGAGAGTTATTGATTTGGGTTCTTCTTTTGCAAGCTGCTAAAGTCTCTTTGATTTAACACTCTATCTTTGGTTGGATTTTTTAATTAAATATAATGAACTAAATTAATTTTTGGATTTATCTGAAGAATTCTTTTTATTTTTTTCTTCACTTCCATTTGAAAATATGAATTAATTAGTTTTTGTAATTAACTTTATTTTTATTTTTAGTATAGCTTTCCTTGTTTTTTAAATAAAAAATAATAAATCAAAGCAATAATTAAATTGACGATGATGGCATAATTGGATTGGGACAAGCTTTACTTAAATGTGCTAACCTTTAAAAGTTAATGCTTGATATTGGGTAAAGTTGAATAATTTTTTTCTATTTCTTCAATTTTAATATCATATTTTATTTAAATATGTCTTCAAAATTTAATTGTTTAATTTATCCTATTAAAAATACACTAAAAACTAAATTAATTAATTAATATCCACAATTTTTGTTATTCAAATTTTGTTTTATGAATAACCTAAGAATCTAAAAGTTTAAAAAAATGTATTATGGTAAACAAATTTTTGTCAAAATTTATTTTTAATATGTCTGGTTTTTTTTGATGAAAACAACGCATTATGATTAAAAACTTTATTTAAATTGAAAATTTATCTTATTTAGATTAAATTATTTTTGGGTAAAAAATAATCAATGATCCTCAAATTTACTTATAACATTTTTGAAGTAATAACAGTTTTGGGTAAAATGGTGCTTCAGGACTAGGTTCTGCATTCGCAAGCTTCCCTAGACTTTAGATTTTGGAATTAGATCTTTAGTAAAATTGTTTTTTTTTTAAAGTTGAAATCAAATTTTTATTATTATTTATTTTGTAAGATAACTAACTAAATAAATGTTTTAAAAATTCCTTCACCTTTGAAAATTAACTTCTTATTGATAATTATATAAAAAGTGATAATTACATTCAATAATAAGGTGCATCTGGATTGGTTTCTGGATTATCAAAATGCAAAAATCTTTCTAACTTGAAGCTTTATATTGGGTAAGAATATATAACTTTTATTTGTACTTATTTTTATCTATCATAATTTATAGTTAAATTTATTTAAAAATATCTATTTTAATTTTAAAAATGAGTATTGTATCTATATATTTATTTATTTTTACCTTCATTATCTTAAAAAAAACAAACAATATTTATATTTAAAATAATCAAAAGCAATAATGATATTTAAAGTAAAGGAGTATAAGGTATAGCCTCTGCTTTATAAAATTTTACTAAGCTTTTAACTTTGTCACTAAATTTATGGTAAAGATTAATTATTGGATTTTATTTAATTTATGAAATTCCTACATAAATTTAATTTGTTTAATTAAAAATAAAAATGTACTTTTGACATTTTGAAAATTAATTTTTAAAAAATAATAATTATTTAAACTATCTATTTAATTAATAAATAGTTTAGAACAAAACTTTTACCTTTTTTATTGTATTATTTTTATCTTTAAGTTAAAAAAATTATTTTTTAATACCTCTTATAAAGCCATAATTCCATAAACGATGATGGAATTTCAAGTTTAGGAATCGCTTTACAGTATTGTAATTATCTTCAAAGTTTGGCTCTCTACACTTTGTAAATTTTATTTATTGTTTTTATACATACATATTCCTATAATTTATTAAATTTATTAAAGAGAATACAAACTACCATTTTCTTTTTTATTTTATAAGTTTGACTTATTAAGTTTGTTTGTTTTTTATTTGTTATTTCATTTAAATTTATTATTTTGCAAAAAAATATTTAACAAATAAACTGAAAATAAAACAAAAAGTGGAAATAAAATTAGTAGAGCCTAATGTCTGAAATTAACAAAAAAAGTGCTTAGAATTTAAAAGCTGGTAAATTATAAGATCTCTATTTGATAGATGAATAAAACAATATCATTTGTTTTTAATTAATATTGATGATTTCTAATTTATTTAAAATCAAATTTTCTAAACAAAACTAACTCTCTTAGTAATTTTTTAAATAAAAATGATTAAAAAATGAATATATTTCTAATTTTTTTAGGGTTAATTAAATATTGATATGCCTTAAAAAAGTATTAATAATAAAAACATATAGATTTATAACTAATTATCTATGAAGTAAAATAAACCTATTAAAATATTATATAATTGTTTTTTTTAAATTAATTACTTAAATTCTTTGTATAACTGATAATATTTAAAGTATATATTTACATCTTACTTGATTTAAATTATTATATTCTAAAATAATACTTTTTATTTAAATTAAAATAATTAATTAATTAAAACTTCATATTTCAGTGATAAAGATAATATTTTATATCTAAGTTAGATATTATATTTGAATACAATAAATTCAAACTATTTATTTACCTACATTTCATAATTATATTATTACTTCATATCAAATAAATAAATAAACTTGTTAAAATATTATTAATTGTGTTATTAAATTAATTACTTAAATTCTTTTTATAATTAATAATATTTATAGTATTTACATCTTACATGGCTTAAATTATAATATTATAAAATAATACTTTTTATTTAAATTATTATAATTAATTAATTAATTAAAAATTCATATTTTCAGTAATAAAATTAATATTTTATGTTTATAAGTTACTTACATATTATATTTGTATACAATAAACTTAGCTACATTTCATAAATATATTTTTTTATAATATAAAATAAATAAATAAACCTGTTAAAATATTATTAGTTGTTAATTAAATTAATTACTTAAATTATTTGTATAATTGATAATATATTTACATCTTACTTGACTTAAATTATGAAATTCTAAAATAATACTTTTTATTTAAATTAAAATAATTAATTTATTAAAACTTCATATTTCAGTAATAAAATCAATATTTTATATTTATAAGTTACTTGTTTTATTTGTATACAATAAAATCACACTATTTATTTATTTACCTACATTTCATAATTATATTATTTTATCATATCAATCAATCAAATAAATAAACTTGTTAAAATATTATTAATTATTTAATTAAATTAAATTAATTAGTTAAATTCTTTGTATAATTGATAATATTTAAAGTATCTATTTATTTATTTACATCTTAGTTGACTTAAACTATCTTAAATTATTAAATTCTAAAATAATACTTTTTATTTTAAATTAAAATAATTAATTAAAACTTAATATTTCAGTAATAAAATTAATATTTTATATATAAGTTACTTACATACATATTATATTTGTATACAATAGACACTATTTATCTACATTTAATAATTATATTATTTTATCATATCAAATAAAAATTGAAATAATCTCTTAAAATTACCATTTATTTTATTTAATTTAATATTTTTAATTTTAGATTACTGAATTACATTTAAGATTTGAATCACTAGTTTAGATATTGAATTTAGTTTTATATATTTCATATTAACACTTATCAAAAATTTTTTGATTGGTTATTAATCTTTCATCAGTAAATAAATATATTGGTTATTAGTCTAGCTAGATAGCTAGCTAGCTAGCTCGATAATAAATCCATTTAACTTAGTATTATATTTAACAAATCAGTTTTGGTACTCTAATTCTTCACATTGTAAAATGGTTATGCTGTCGCCGTTATTAAAGAGTTAAAAGCCTAAAAGATATTCTTAACTGGTATTTAACAGATACAATCTGTTGTCATCAATTTCATTAACATTTTCTCTGTTAGGGTAATCGCATACTTAAAAGAGCTTTGATTCAACACAAAAGGTAATTTCTATCTGCTTGTAATCATCGGGATACTGTAAGTCTTTTAGAACCCTTCCTTTCACGATTTTACTAACTCCTTTGCTTGTGCTTTACCTATCAACTGCAAAACTGTTGACTTTGTTCACATCAGAAATATATGTATTATCTTTACTAAAGTTGCTTATAAGACCAACGAAAATGTAATACTTATTATAGACATTATGGAGGTTCATTTCAACTACTACTCTATACAAGCTAGCCTAGTTTATTTTCATATAAGCAGTGGTAGTGTTAGATTGCTGGACTACTTAGAATATATAATTTGAATTGTTTTGAATTATTTGTCCATACTGCTAGCTGTTGTTTAGAGAGCTAAGTTGTAATTAATATCTACAATTAAAGTAAGACTTATAAAAGCTTTCAAACTCGAAAATAGGGTATTTTTTTAGTAAATTATAATAATAATTTAATTTATTTTGCTTAATTATGTTTTAATTAAACAAAGCTCTACAAGTAGAATAAGAAGATGGTTAAATTTTGAATGATAAAATTTCTTATTCTTAGCTGCATCTGTATTTGTTGTTCATCTCGCTTATTTTTTTACTAAGCAAATGAATGTCATCGATTTACTCTTAAGTAAAATCTTAAAAGTTGATTTATTGCTTGCTTGGTAGAAAAACATTCTTTTCTATTTTCAAGTCATTTATTATGACTTAAATTTTGAGAAGCTCAGATTGAAGTGAATCCAAGTATTTTGAGTCGCATTGATTTGTTTTGTTTGCAACTAATTTTAAAATTGTGTCAAGATTTCCATTTTCTTAAAGTTTTATGTTTTCATTCTGTAAATTGTTTTCACTTTTTTATTGCTCTATCAAACAGTAATTCTTTTCAAGAAATTACTGCAGCTATTGCATAGATTGAGAGTTAATGAAGCTGAGTTACTTTAAGATAGAATTTTTAAGCTTCGTTAGCAATTATAAATCAACAGCTTTTTACTAAATTGATTTTTAAAGCATTTGCTTAAGTTTATGTGTGTTTTCAGTTGACTTTTCTTTCATTTTGTTGATAATAGCTAATACTTGTTTAGCTTTTTGCAATTGAGTTAGATTTTAATCCTAAATTATACCTTTTATGTCACTTAATTTAGAAATTTTAGAATAGAAATCTAATAATTCTTAATTTTAAGTGGAAATATTATTAATTTTTACTAAAAAGGCCTTTTTTTATTTCTATAAATGAGTTATAATTTCTGTTTCTAATTCATCAAAAAATTAAATTAACTTTTATATGCTAATAGGGTTATCATATTGGCTAATTTGGTATATCTAACAAACTAAATCTTACTCGTCAAGAGGAGGCCACGAAAATATAATATGATCTTCTTCACAACTTTAAATTTTTTCTAAAGGTATCATATTCTTTACTTTATAACACTCTTCATACAAACAATTGTAGCAGCAAAATAGATCTTCTTCATTATCACTGGCAAATTGCAAGTATTCTGATTGCTAATAGTGCTTCAAGCACAATAATTAGTTTTAGATATTGCTATTATTTATTTAATCCATCATGAATATAACTAATTTATTTATTTATTTTTTTTTATAAAATTTTTACAAATACATCCAGTTTAAATATCTGTCTTTAATGATCAAACCAACAAACAAATATATAGATATTTCAATTTAAATATAGGAAAAAATCAACTAAAATTTAATTTTTTATATAATTTGATAAACTTTAAACAGATAAAACATTAACAAATCTTGTCTATAAAATATTAAGATATCTTGTCAATAAAATTTTAGTCTTAAAAACCAAAAAATATTTTAATTGCTTTTACAATAAATCGCTTTTAAAAATATTTATTTCCTAATTTATTATAAGAATTTCTCAATATTTAAAAATACAATAAACGCTTTTTACTAAAGATTAAGTGTCAAATTTGAGAGATTAGTGCACTTTTCTAAATTAGAATCTTAGCTAATTCAATTAATATCTATAAACAATAAGCTTTTTTATTATATATAGCTGGTTAATAATTATTTATTATTGCAACAAATAAAATATAAGCAAATATTTAAATTAAATCTTTAAAATCTAACTATCTATCTTTTAAATAATAATTTTTATAAAATAGAAAATTAAATGATTGAAATTTCTAAACAATTTTTTGATAAAAATTAACTTTAGTTAAATTTAGTATAATAAATATTTTGTCATTTTATTTTACATTTGTTTTTATTAAAATAAATTATTCATCTAATATCAAGTTTATCTTATAATTTTTTGCATTTCTATAATAATCGATAAACAAAGTTTCCTTATTAAAATCATTTCCTTTCTTAGCTCAAATTATTATGTTCAAAAAATAAATAAAATTAAAAAAAATTTATTTTTATTTAAATCTAATTTTTGTTTCCTCAATTAATCGATTGATCGATTTTATTGGTTTGTTTTCTAACAAATATTATACAAAACAAATAAATAAATAAATGATGTTATCTACCCAAAATTAAAATAAAGGAAAATTAATTAACTTAAATACAATTAAAAGTAGATTACAAATAAACATATAGATTTTACTCAAATATTGCTGAAATTTTAATTTAAATTTGATTTAGCATTCATAAATTTAATCGAAATTATCTATTTAACATTAAAAATAATAAAATAGTAAATTTAATTAATTTAAATCAATTATCTCTTCTCCTTAAAATTTCTAGCGGGGGCTATATAATAGGGATATTTTTTTTATTTAAATTTTCAGCCAAGAAAAACCTCAGGGCCAAAAAATTATTTTTTAAAAAAATTGAAAATTGTATGCCCTCGTTGCATATATATATATATACTTTTCCCTTGTAAAAATTGCCACTGCTGAAAAAGCAGGATGCAGGCATGCTAAAAATCTAAATCCGAATAATTCGGATAGATCTCTATCTATATTTTAAAAATTTGTACAAAAAGCATGTATAAACATAAAAATTTTTAGAAAACTGAAAAAAGAACTAAAAAAAATGGAGGAACGTAGAGTAAAAATGATGTTGACTAAAACTAGAACTAATGGAAGAGAGGATATAATATTTAAATTTATTAAGAAATCTCATTAAGATAAATGATTGAAACACTCTAAGCTTCTGTACAAGCCTAATAAAGAGCATATTATTTATCCTACACTTAATTCTACTAAATTTATAAAATTAGTGAAGAGAAAGTAAATCATCCTCTCTAAAAAAGTTTAGTCCTTGTTTTATTGATGATACCTGCTAATGCGGCAATTACAAAGAATAGCCTGATTAGAAACTGTGTAGATAAAAGCATTCATGTAGCTTGACTCAATTTATTATGAAATATATCATATAAATCTTAGGAAGGAATTAAAGCCATTTATCAAATTATCTATTCAGTTTAATTAGCTCTGTTTTTTCGAAAAGTTATATTAATGCTATCTATACCCAAATATCCATAAGTGAAAATCTCAATTTTGGATTGATGTTTTCATTATTGCTTAGAGCTAAAGTGTGGTTTGAAACATTTGAAAAGTCCAAGTAATAAAAGCTTTTAAGATTAGGTTTTAGACACTCAATAATATCAGGCTGAAGGAATAATTAATATTTTGAGAAATGTTATAAAAATAAGCTAAATAAGCTAAAAATATTTTGCTTTTTGAGTTACATTAAAGGCCATTAACAGTTTATAATCTGAATTCAGCTAAATCATTTGTTAAAGGCATATAAGGTCTATCATAAGTCATAAAATTATAAATCTGAAGCATGTTCTATCTGATTAGTTTAATATTACTTAATAATATAAATGAAATTGAAAGAGTAGATATGCCAATAATTAAAGTAAGGATTGTAGCAAATATAGCTAGTTCCTTTGTTTCTTTATTAACCAACTATCTATGCTAAATTTAAATTATGAAGAAAATAAATCCAATTTTAAATTTTAATTTTTTGTTTTATACCTTTATAGAAATACAACTTGTATTTTCCTGTTTTTTTCATGATTATAAATTCAAAACAAAGGTTTGAAGTACTTTATTAGAATATAAACTCTTTAATATAAAAATAATGCCTGAACTTTTGATTTCATCCAGTAAAAAAGGATTTTAGAAGATAATACAAAATAAAACTAGCTTATAAAACTTAAAAATAGCAAAAAGTTTTTTGGTTGAGGAAACATTTACTTATCAATTTTGCCTTAAAATATTAAATTATAAAAAAATATTTTTATTTAAATCTAAAATATTTATTTAAAAAACTCCTTTTTGCATATTATCTCTTGGAGCTATTGATAAATAAATCTAAAATAATAAATTTAAACTACTTAAAATATTTTTTATTTGACTTGGATTTAAAGAAAATTAAAAAAAAGATCAATTTAAAGTTAATTTAAAAATTATTTTAGTTATAAAAGTTTATGAAAAAAAATAAATTATTTGTATTAAACCCGTCTAGCTCAGTCGGTAGAGCGCCAGCCTTTTAAGCTGGTGGTCGAGGGTTCGAGCCCCTCGGTGGGTGATTTTTTATTTTATAGCAAATCATTATTTTTTAATCAAACAAGAAATTATTAAAATTTTTTTTAAGGAGTTTCAATTAAACCAAAACTAATTTTAGTATAACTTCATTAAAACACCAAAAAAGTGAATTTATATTTATAAATAAACCCGTCTAGCTCAGTCGGTAGAGCGCCAGCCTTTTAAGCTGGTGGTCGAGGGTTCGAGCCCCTCGGTGGGTGATTATTTTTAGTATAAAATTATAGCGCTATCAATTCAAAACAACTTTTTTCTATTTTTATAATATAAAAATATCATTCAAAGTAATTTATATATTCATTCATTCTTCTGTTTCAATCTAAGGTTTTGATCTTAAAATTTCAATAATTGAAAAAAAAGGAGAAGCTTAATTAATATGAATTCAAGATTTCAAAGAATGTGATAACACTTTTCAGTTAAATCTAAATAAAGATTAGAGTCATTAATAGTTAATTTAAGCTTAAGAGAGTTTTCTTCAAATAAAATGAAAGATTTGGAAATTTTAAGTAATTAATTAAATAGAATATCTATCTATTGAATTTTTATAATATTTAAAGAAAATAATAAAAGTATCTGCTATCATTAACTATTTTCATTAGATATTAAAATTTTAACTATTCAATATTTTATTAAAATATTACTTGGAATTATTGATAGGATATCTATCTATCTAGTAGGAGTTTTGCATTAATTGATTAAAACGGGTATTATATAAAAATTATTTAAATTCAAACTAAATTCCAATAAAAATATTTAAACAATAAGAAAAAAAATCAATTAAATAAATTTTCCATATCATACAAAGCTAATAAATGAGCTTGAGAAAAAAAACTAAAATAAAGTATTAAATCATATATTAAATAATTTAACCATATTTCTATCATAATGTTATCAGTTCTTTTCATTCTTTTAGCTCTTTGGTTTAATTTTAGCACGTCTTAATCATTTATATAATTATTCCTATTTTAATAAATAAAGATATCATAAAAAAAATGATTTTTTAGTAGAAATTCAAAGTATGGAAATTGATTAGCAATAAACTATATTTTATTTTTGAATTAATAGAATTAATAATTTAAATCAAAATAATAAAATTTTTAAAAATTAATTACCTTAGATTAAGTTTTAAATAAACAAATTTCATAAAAGTCATAAGATTATTAACAAATTAATCATATTTTTATCAATTTATATTACTCTTTTTAAGCGAAAATATAATTCTTTAATCTAAGATACTCTGATTTGAACTATTCTGATTTCTATTTAAGAATTTTACTAAATTTTCTTCCATATATTATTCTAATTATTAAATGGCAAGCTAACTTTCGTAATGACTTAGATTTTTTTCTTTTTCTGGTTAATTTGTAAGAATAAATAAATATAAAAATTCAAACAAATATAAAATTTTACCTAGTTATTCAAAGCTCACATTCATATTATTTAGATTAAGATCTAAAAAGCTTGATGAACATCCAATAAGTCGCTGAGTTGCTAATTGATCTTTAGTTAGTATCATCATTACTGCTTTTTTCAAAAATATGATATCCTTTATAATATTCATGATATTCATTTCTTTAGCAATTTATTCTTCAATCTATCTGAATGATTAGTTATCCTGCTCTTTCACTTCACGACTTGGTTTTTTGAATAAACTTTTAAAAATTAATAAATAAATAAATATAACCTATTTGCTTGCATCAAATTTATAATTTTTTACCTCATCCTAAATAAAACATCATAGATTTTTGTTTTCATGCTCTAATTGTAAATATTTTAAATGTTTTAAATGTAAAAATTTTAAAGCTATCCCAATTTGATAAAACTATAAATATTGATAATTCGACTTTAGAAAACATCTTATATGAATTTAAGAAACTAATGTGAAATTAAAATTTAATTAATTAGTTCTATTATTTATATTTATACATATTTTGTTTAGCTTTTTTTTTCTGTGTCAAGTATTAAAAACAATAATTATTAATTGCAACTAAATTTTTAATTAAATAATTTTCAATTTTATTATTTTTTATTTTCTTTCTATATTTATAACACAGACACAAGAAAGCATTTATTAAA